AATTTTGGAGGTGTCACTTAGACAAAATCTAAAATTGATTGCAGCTTTTACATAACTTTCTATTATTTGTGTTATGTAAAAGAGAGGTCCGACTGTAACTAATTTTGTATATTCATCGAATTTTTCGTTAATGTCTGAATTGTCTTTATTTATTCGATTTATTTTCTTTTAAATTTTAATTTTTAATATTTGTTCTCTTCTTTTTATAAAGTTGTTTCTTGTAACAACAACTACATAAATATTTTTTAGATTCCGAATCACGGTAGTTAACTAATTTTGTAGATCCGCACATATAACAATGACGGTTTTGTTTGATTGGAATTAGCTAAAGAAAGTTAATTTTAATTGTTTATTCTTTGGAAATGTAAAAATTAATTAATAATTTTTAGAATTATTTTAAAATAATTTTGGATAACCTTTTTAGTTTTAGCCCATAATTCTTTTGGTCTAAACTTTCCATTATTTTTATATCTATATTTGAAACATAATTTGCACAAATATTGTTCTTTTAGATATTTGTACCATTGTATCGTTTGCTTACCTCCACAATTAAAACAATGCTGGTTTTTCCTTTCATTAATTTTACCTATAATAGTTGCGATAAAAAAATCAAATGTCACATAAAAAGACAAATAAATAGAAAAATGAAGTTAAAAAATTGGCTCTTGTCCAGTTTAAGCGTCCAATCACACCTTTATGCATACAATAAAAAGTTTATACGTCCAAACAAGGACACATAAACTTTTCATTGGACTTTTAAAGGTGCGATTGGATGCTTAAACTGGACAATAGCCCAAAAATTATACTTATTTTATTGCCAATATAAACAATTTTGTTTTCTTCTTTCGAATATTCAACTTTTTGTTTTTTTAATAAATTAATTTTATATGCAATTAAATTAATTTCTGTCCAATAACTTGATAAAAGTTTGTTTTCATAATTTTCCTTTATTGAGTTCAAATCTTTGAAATTTTTTATATTTTCTAAATTCTCATCCAATATACAAGTTTTATAACAATTTTTATTTGCTCTTTTAAAAGCAATATTTCGGAGCATCTTAAAATGGGTCATTTATGTATAAGGGAGAAAAGAATAATAAAAGGGCCGAAAATATTTTTCTTCAAAGCTAACCTTCTGCAGATTCTCAGGGTGGAATATATTCTGATCTTTATTGTACATAAAATTATAAAGAAATTGTTACTCCTCCCGAGCCCATTTCAGTTTATCCATGTTATGTCCTTAAATACTGCTGTTCTTTATCACAATAAGTATGATAATCATGATAATATTATAATATAATTTAGTATAATCATAATTTCTTAATCAATCAAATCCCTCAAGTTAATCGAGGTGGCTGTTGTTTGTGTGTGTAAAATCGAGGTTCTATGTACTTATCTTTATTAACAAAATATATAAAATACCCGTTTCTCAAATTTAGGCAAAAGGTTTTGAATAAGCTGATTATTGGCAATCTCAATCACAATTTTATTCTTTAATTGAACAGTTGTAAAATATTTCGAATCACTACTTATTGAAGCATCAAAAATATTTTTATCAAGGTCAAAGTTAAGTGGGTGCAGAAAATCCTTTATATTATGCTTATGGATGTCATTATATTTATTATTATTTTTCTCAATTTTTTTCACTACAAAACGCTTCTCGAGTTCAACATTTTTTAAATAAATAAATTCTCTTTTCCCTTCCCAATCATTTTTAATTTTCACTCCTACAGGAACAATCCTTCCGGAGCATTGAATATTTAATAAAATAATTAAATGTAGAAGAATAATCATCTGAAATTTTGTGTAAAAGGCATTAATTAATCCTAAGGATGTACATAGGCCTTCGAGGAGTACAGGAGTGGACTGATTTTAGTTTGCGGTTACGCGAAAACCTTAGCAACTTTAACATTTTCTCCAGTGTTTTTAACTAAAAGCTTTAATTAATTATTACTCAAGGAGTATTTTTATTGTTTTTAACGAATTTATAAAATAACTTTGAGAAAAAAATTTTTATTAAATAAATCAAAGGGCATTTAATAAATATTATTGACTAAACATGTACTATTCGTGGCAATCAATTTATTAACAGTGCAATTTAAAAATAAACCGACAATTGGAAATTAAGTACAGCTGTTTTGAAATTTTGATTTTTTCTTTGATTTGCGCGATAGCGGAGTATAACACCCGGCGGTGTTTTAGTTTTTTTGTTAACGTTTGGATTTTTTTATATTTCTAAAATTTGCAGTATCTTTAAAGAAATAATTAAGTGGAATTCTATACACTTTAAGCAAATCTCTAAAAGATATTTTATGCAAACTTTCATTTCGTTTATAGACATCGAGGTTACCTTGATGTGTTTTTGAAAATTAAATTTATCTTTATCAAACATACGGGCCAAGAACAATTTGGATAATGGAATCCATTGAGGTTGGTATAATGATTCTCTTTTGGCTTTTATGTTATCGAAGACTTGTCCCATTAAATATACCAACAGAAATGGATGGAAATGGAAAAGAAAATGGAAAAATATAAAAGAAATTTTAGTAAATAAATTTTTGTTTAAAAAATTGTTTATTTTATACACTCTGTCAGAAAATTATAAGCAGCCCCTATTTTCAAGTAGAAAACAATTAAATTTAAAATATCATAATTTTTGATATTTTTACAAATTTCTAATTTATATTCAAAAGAAAAAACAATCAGATATAAATTATTTATGTGTAGTAGGGGATATAACTGGTATATCTTAAAAAACGACACCCCTTAAGTTTCTGCATTAGAAAATCTACAAAAATTCCGGTAAGCATATCTAGTGATGACCATTGAAAGTACAAAAGAAACCAGCGAACTTCTCCACTTTTTAAAGCTTTTCTGAATTGTCTCTTCTAAAGTTTTTCCTTTGACTTTATATGATGTTGTTTTTGGTAACACGCTTCACACTTATGATTTTCTGAATCACGATACATTACTATTTTCTGACAAATATAATATTGACGTTTTTGTTTGATTGGAGTTAGCTAAAAAAAATTATATTTTAATTGTATAGAAGCGAGGAGTAGGCAGATTAAACTGAGACAAGATATATTTTAATGAGTTCTTTCATCACATAAACCTGTTTTGTTTTTATGGGGGAAAGTATCGGACCTCAATTTTAAAGATTTTTATAAAATTTAATTTTAATTCTAAAAAATTATCTTAATAAAATATTTGGAATTTATTTTTATGTCGGCTCGTTCCTCCAGTTTACTCACAATCAGTATAACACGGGAAGTTTTTTTAATTTAACCAAGATAAACAGAAGTTTGGTCAATTTCGAATAAGCCAATTTTTATCGATCATAACAAATTCAGCTTCCACTAAATAGCCAATTTAATTTAAAAATATTTTTCTAATAATTCTCTTTTTATATAAAAATTTATTAAAAAATAAGCTAAAATAATCAAGACGGAAATAGAAAAAAGAGACATACACACAATTTTAATTTAAAAGTGCATTTTTCCCTTTTTACTTTTTTTTCTTCATTTGTTCCCAATTAGAAAAATATTTAAGTCTGTCTTTTAAAATAAAATAAGCACCAATAACAACACAGATTTAATTAAAGAAAACGTCTCTTAAAAATACAAAAAAATTAGTTTTTTAATAAATCTGGTGAAATTGGCATAATGTTATTTTTTCGTTTCCTAGGCGATATTTTCTGTTTTTAAACAAAATTATTTCCTTTCTTTCATAAACAAAGAAAATTTTTAAAAAATAATAATTTTTTTGAAGACCTCCCTCATTGCTTGTGCCCCTTCTCTTTCCCTTTTTTCATTTATTCCCCATAATTTTCTTCTTCCATGACACCGTCGCGCAGATGTTTAAGAGAAAATGTTAATACTTAACTAAAAAATAAATTGTATATGTAAATTGGCTCTTGACTCTTTGATTGAATAATGGAAAACTATAATAAAGTTAATAATTTGTTATTAAGGGTTGTTAAAAATGTGAAAATAAATATTTAAATGTATACATCAGTGTCTTGGGTAACACGAACTTTTTTGACCCAAAACCGACCCCGACTTTTTCTCAACTCGTGACATCTCTGCTAGTATACATATCCTTCTTGCCAGACTAAGACCTTTTTTGATAACTCTCATTCCTTTTATTTTTTTTGTTTTTTAAAATTCATAATCAGAGATTGTTAATAAGTAGTGTTGCACCTCGACCCCGAACCCTAACCATATTTTGCTGCCCGACCGAGCCCTGTCCCGAAACAATTCGAAAATACCCTGTCCCGAAACAATTCCACGATATACCCGCCCACGAGCGTTCGGGGTACAACGCTATTAACAAGGATTGAAAAAACATTTCTATACTTTGAATAACATAAGAATTTAAAAATCTGTAAAATTAAGCTTCTTTTTAACTGGTTTACAACTTATCATTGCATACGATCTTCCAATAACTATTTAATCAACAAAAACAAAATTTTGATAATTTTACTTTTTGAAGCCTAGTAACCTTATTTTTTTATATATATATTTTGTTTTCAACTTTTTTAGTAAAAATAAGTCCTCTCCTTCTTTGCTTCAATTTCATTGGAAATCTGCGTACTTAGAAAAAGGATGGGAAAAGGGCTCAGACATCCCCCTCCCTCCCCTCACTTTTTCTACAAATCCTCAGTGGGTGGCTGATTGTGAGCGCAATTTGGCCGAGTATTTTCAAATGCCCAACTAAGGAAAAAGGCTTCGAAGGGTTGTGTGTGCTTGTATGTGCCGGTCCCAACTGCTTCACTGGCCTGGAATAGTGGCCGTCACTCATGCGAAGAGAGGCAATTCTTCTCTTCCTCAATTTTTTATTCTCTTCTTTTCAATCCTTTCCTTTTCTAGCTGTTGGTTGTGAGGGTATATTTATATTTTGTGCCGTTGAGTCAAACAAGCTCACCAAGGCAACCGACAATTTTTGCTACTAGCGCCTTCAGCTGCGCGCTCTAAAGTAAAAAAGCTGAAGGGGTGACAGCTGTGCGCTCTCCTCCTTCCGTTTTCTGCACTACCCCCCATCCTTTTCATGCTAACTATTATATTTATTTTTGTGTGTTCTCGGCACAATCTAGAGAAAAACAGACTTGAGAGTTCCGCCCATTTTTCTTCCAACCTCATTCTTTTCTCTCTTGTATATTCTCCTTTTCAATCTACTGCCCCAGGCTTTTTCTGGGAAATTTTACTTTATTTTTGCAATCCGTCAAAGGCATTCGTCTTCAATTTCTTTTTTTGACTTGCCAGTAAAACGTACGCAGATGTGCCCTCTACCTAAGGGCAATATTAGCTGACAGTCGGGCGCATTCCTTTTTTGCCATCGATTGAGTCAGCCAACCTCTTTGAAGGCTGCCGTTTTATACAAGCTGTCCCCTTTTATTCCCCTCACTTTTTTTCTTCATTCAGGCTAAAATGTTTGGGACTAAGAGCAGCCAAGTAAGGCAAAAAAGGAGTTGTTGTTGCCATCGTTAAATTTCCATTAGCGAGTCGCTCTCTCCGTCAAAGGCAGAAAAGTAACGCTCATTTGCTTATATTTATTTCTAGGCTGTCCATCATCACTTCGTGGAAGCCGACCTCAAAATAAAAAAAAAGTTTTGCCCCCTCCATCAATTTGCTTTCCCTTCACAACACGTAAAACTCAGTCACTCACTCACACTTACACATTTACCTCCCATTTGCTAATCCTTTTGAATATTTTCCCTCAATTTATCCTCTATTTTCCCTCAATATATAAATATTTTGCCGCTTAAATCTTAAAACTTTTTAACATCTTTTTATGATTTTTTAGTTCTTTATTGTTGTCATCACTTTTCTCTTGAATTTTTCAGAAATATCCCTAATAATTTATTGAAAATGGACTGACGACAAAAATATTTTATTATTTATAAATTAAGTACATATATTGCCTTCAATCATCACTTTTTTATTGAATTTCGTAAACTTTCTTCAACAAAAAAAATAAATTGTCAATACCACCCATATTTTTATATTTTTTCTTCATTTTTCCAAATAAATCCTTTTCTTCCTTAAAAAATTCTAAAAATATATAGCCAGGTTTCGGTTCGCCTTCACCAGTGACTTTGGTGTGCAACAGCTTTAACTATAGCTGGCATAATACGCGACTAAGGCACGCGGTGAATGCTGACCGTTCCTGGCCGACTTTAAAATTTATATTAAATAAAATCGGAAATTATTTTAAAAAATTAACCCCCTTTCATTAAATAGGTAGTAAATAACCCTGTGAAGTTATCGATAATCCACAGAGATTCTTTGTGTAAAACCTTATATGGTCGGGAAAATATTATTATTTTTCATAATACGCTTTTACAAGGTATAACACGATCACTGGAAGGTCTCTCGTTTATTGTAAAACATTTCCGCTAGTACCTCGACAGAGTTTTTATTAATTTATACAAAAATCGGCCTTTTGTACTATTTTTAATCCCAATAATTATTTTTTCAACATTTTCTAACAAAAATAAAATTTAAAAGTTTCTTTGGCTTCTTTCCATAAACTTAACTTTCTAATTACAATTTTAAAAATTTTTTATTTAGTAACTTGGCAACAGAAGCTATCAAAATTTAAATAAAACGTCAGAGACCTACAGTAATTTTATTTTAAATTGTAAATTAATTTTGTTCACAATTAAAAAGAAATTCAAAATAAAAACTAGGTATGCTGTGATAGATTACATATACCGTTTTTCTTCTAATATGTAGATGTTACAAACTAAAACTATTTTGAAGTTATTACTATATATTTATAAAAAAAGTTACTTGGCTAGAAAAAAGTCTAGCTCTTTACAGAGTTGAGATACGGGCTTGAAAGTTTTACATGTCCTGGGTCAAATTTCATGTAGTATTCAGGAAAATTATGACTTTGGGGGTACCTCTATTCCTTTGTACCTAAATCGTGTCGGTACCGAGGATATCTCCGGAACGGATAAAGGGCTGTAGTGTAGTGTACCGGTGGTAAAAGTTCGGGACGTGACATATGTCATTCGATTCGTCTCGACGAGCTGAGTCGAACGGTACCACTCCCTACTTTAGGAAATAATTCTGGACCGAGTTATAGGTCCCGAAAAATCGAAAAACCAAAGGGGGGACCAAGCACTTTTTTGGGGTGAAAAATTCGAAAATGCAAATTATACCTTATTCGAAAGAGCTCGTCGAGCTGAGTCGAATGACACCAAAATCAACAAAATCCGACTTGATTTGACAAAGTTATGACCGTTTGTTTTAGCTCCTTACCTATGTCATTTGTGGAGATTTTTGCTGCTACGGAGGCCCCAAATACGTCCAGAGCAAGGGAGATAGGAATAGGTTTATGTTACGAGCCCAGACCAAGCGCCCGTAGACTCCCCGCGAGGCGCGTGCCGCAAAACCCCGCGCGAAGCGCGGGGTTTTGCACAAGCGCCTCGCCGACGCTCCATAGGTTTAGGTGTTTTGTTTTTTGGTGTCATAACTTTGTCTATTCTTGTCCAATCACGATGATTTTGGTGTCATTCGATTCAGCTTGTCGAGCTCTTTCGAATGAGCTAACATTTATGGAATCGAATTTTTGACCATAAAATCCCCCCTATGGTTTTTGACCATTTCGAGCCCTATATCTCGACTCAAACTTGTTCAATCAAGCTGATTTTGGTGTCATTCGACTCAGCTCGACGAGCTCTTTCGAATGAGCTATAATTTGCTTTTTCGAATTTTTCACCCCAAAAATGTGCTTGGTCCCCCCTTTGTTTTTCGATTTTTCGGGACCTATAACTCGGTCCAGAATTATTTCCTAAAGTAGGGAGTGGTACCGTTCGACTCAGCTCGTCGAGACGAATCGAATGACATATGTCACGTCCCGAACTTTTACCACCGGTACACTACACTATATCCGGATAAAGATAGAGAAAAAGTTCCGCCGGGAGGGCGTTGAAGCTTGATTTGGAGATGATGAAACCAAAAAACCCGATGTCGAAATGTCAAGTCTAAAGGTCGATATGCCTGACACAAAATTGGTTTTTCGGTAAAATGTCCGATTTTTCGGAAATGACGAAATCCTGGGGGCATATCTTATAGGTGAGAGAGAAAATGTGATTGATGGGTGAAATTTCGAGTTGAAACAAGGTAAAGTCGAAACTGAAGCAAGTTTCGAGTTGAAGCAGGGGAGGTTGAAGCAAGTTTTGAGTGGTCGAACTTCGGGATCCGGGTTTTTTGGGATTTCTAAGTATGGGTGAGTAGGTAGTCGTTTGAGAGCTGGAGTAAGGGAAGTTAAATGGGAAAAGGGATAATGTCGAAAGTCGAAGTTCGGAGTTCGAACTTCGAAATCCGGGATTTTCGGGATTGAGATATATGGATGAGTGGGTAGTCATTCAAGAGGGGATGATCAGGGGAGTCTAAAGAGAAAGGATAGTATCGAATGTTGAAGTTCGAAGTCGAACTTCGAAATCCGGGATTTAGGGGAGTGGGAACTATGGGCAAGTGAGTAGTCATTCAAGAGGGGATAATGAGGGGAGATCAGTCGGATATATGAGAGTGTCTAAAGTCGAAATTCGATGTCGAACTTCGAAATCCGGGATTTTCGGTATTGCAAATATTGTCGAATGAGTAGTCATTCGAGAGCGGGCATGAGAGGAGTTCACTGGGATTAATAAAAATTTCAAAATTTGAACTTTTAGAAGTCGATGTTCGAGATTCGACATTTCCGGGATTTGAGATTTCAAGGGATATGGTCGAATGAGTAGTCATTCGAAAGCATATCAGAAGGGTATTCTAATGGGATTAGCCAAAATATCTAATTTCGAAGTTTGTGGGTTGAGATCCGGGATTTTGGGTCTGGGACTGAAATGGTTTTCAGACTAACTTTGTTAAAAAAATTTTTAGAATTTTTCCGACAACGGATTCGTACTCAGCGTGTAAGATTACACTATAAAACACGTTTTTTTGTCAAAATTAAAAATTTTTGACCCCTCGAATTTTTCAATGGGGGTACCCCATTTGGGGGTTTTCGGGATTTTTTAAATCGCCATAACTTTGGAACGGATAGGGTTTTTTGCATGATGATTCCTTTATAAAATTGGGCAAAAAATTAGAAATTTTTTGAGGTAAAAAAATTTCGAAAAAATTCTAAACTGACCCCGTAGTGGTCAATTTTCGAAAAACCCAAAATTTTTCGGTTTTTTGAAAATTTTTCGGGATTTTTGCCAATGGTTCGGGCTGAGTGTATTTTTCCTGGATTAAGCAGATTTTTCTTCATCGGATAAGATTTTAAAATTTAAAAAAAAGATCTATTTTGAAAAAGTTATGATTTTTTGAATATTTTAGCGGGTACGAATACACTATAAAACACGTTTTTGTGTCAAAATTTAAAATTTTTTACCCCCTGAATTTTTCCAAAGGGGTACCCCTTTTGGGGTATTTTCGGGATTTTTTAAATCGCCATAACCTTGGAAGGGATAGCGATTTTTGCGTGCGGGTTGCTTTATAAAATTGGGCAAAAAATTAGAAATTTTTTGAGGTTAAAAAATTAAAAAAAATTCTAAACTGACCCAGTAGGGGTCAATTTTCGAAAAACCCAAAATTTTTCGGTTTTTTGAAAATTTTCCGGGATTTTTGCCAATGGTTCGGGCTGATATATTTTTCCTGGATAGAGCAGATTTTTCTGCATCGGATAAGATTTAAAATTTTTCAAAAAAGGTCTATTTTAAAAAATCGACCTTTGACGCCCCGCGAGGCTAAGTGGAAGGATGAGTCCCAAGGGGGGAAAGACGAGAGCCGAAGGCCCGATGTGACTCAAAATGGATGGAAAAGTCCCAACTGAAGGCTAATCTTTTGTTCCAGGCATAAAAAATCGCTAGCTGCGCGCGAAGCGCGCCTCAAAGCCGATAGGCTTTCCCACGGGCAGAAGTCCAAATCAACCACCAGAGTAGCCTAATAGGAATTGCATACGTAAATTACCGCCGTTAGTGGTCAAACCCACAGCTAGTTTAAATATATTAATTTAATTAGATCTAGCAATTTTTATGTTTAGGTTTAAGGGGGCTGATGAAGAGAATGGTGAAAGGAATGGAGGAGGCGATGAACAAGAAGATAAATCTGGAGACACACAGGAGAATGAAGATGGACTACGATTATTAATATTTTATTTAAATAATTTATTAGAATTAAAAATAAATTTTACAATAAAATAAAATTTTACAAGATTAATTTAATAAATTTTATTTCCATATAAAAATTATTATTAATTCTAAA